TATGTTTGCAAAGTATACAAGCAAGTTCTGTAAGCCCTGATCTCTGTACTTTTGGGGACAAAGACCTTCCTAGGTGTCCTTAATTAGGGAATGTGGACCATACCTTTTTTAGGCACCTCCTCGAAGCACAAAGCTTGTCACTTTGTGATATGGAATCATACTGGTCCTGGCCAAGTTACCATATGCAAGGAAAATATGCTTTTTGAACCAAAAGCCTATAGATAAGGGGGGGGAGGGGAGAGAGGAGTGAAGGTGGGGGGAGAGATGGGAGAAAGAGAGAGGATGACAATTATTGTGGTCACAAATGGAATGGGATGAGAACTGACTCAGATTCAATGGTTAGTTTCAATGCTGACCTTATGGGGAAATTTTATTTGGTTCTTGTCCAGTTTAGTTTGTGACCCAAAAGATGTTTTGGAAAAATCCCTGCGTGGTGGTGCAGGCCTATAATACCAGCACCTATGAGGCTGAGGCAGGAAGATTGCCATGAGTTTGAGACCACCAACCTTGACTATGTAGTGAGACCCTGCCTCAAAAAAAAACAAAGAACAACAAAAGGAATCTTAGAATCATTACATTGTGGAACTTACCATCCAACTTAAATGATTTGAAACTAGGGCTGGCCAAATAGCTCAGTGGATTAAAGTACCTGCAAGCAGGCACAGGGGCCAGAGGTTCGATCCCCGGGGCACACTGAGACTGGGCGTGGTGGTGCACACCTTATAATCCCAGCTCTTGGGAGGCGGATCATTACGAGTCTGATCTAGTAATGAGGCCCTGAACACCCTGTAGACCCTTCCCTAAAATAGTGAGGAAAAAAATGAATGATTCAAAACTAAATCATAAAGAGAATTGAATGCAAAGGTCTGAGGGACACTAAGACAGCTGGAGAGAAGAACTAAGCTCATGAACTGAGGTACCATTGTGTATATGTAAATATTTTGTGTAGAAAATCTTTTTCCTACTCTAGTAACTAGATCCTGAATTTTAGCCTCAGCTGACATTATGAGTCATAAACAAGACGTGGAAAAAGTTCATAGTTCATATTTGCAGAATTCTTAACAATTCTGGTTAAGAGTCCAGTAAGCAATGATGGTACATGAACCAAAATGAAAGATCAGCCATAAAAGGGTGACTTTATTTAATAAGTGTGATAGTTTCCAAAAGCTCCAGAAAGTTTCAAGAGTTGTTTCTACTAAACTTTGTTCAAGTTTGTGCTAAGTTTTGCACCTGTCTATCTCATTTCTGATAACAGAACAGATGGTTCCAACTAGACTTAGATAATTTTCCACTTAGCAGATATTCTTAAGAAACTTTGAAATATTGCACCCTGTTCCTGGGAAAATGTCAATTTTGTTAATCATATAATCATGTAATAGTCAAATGTTTAAGACAAAAAGCTATAGTTTAGGTAGAAAATATTTGGAATAATTCCACAGAAGATTAAAATGTAGCTTTTTAAAAAAAAATTAGCAAAGGGTCTACAGGGTCTCACTACACAGATCGGACTCATAGTGATTCTCATGTTTTCAGCCTCCCAAGCACTGGGAGCACACCACCATGTACACCACCATGCCCAGTCTCAGTCATGGTCGCAGCACACCCTGGGGGCGGGGCTGGCATGCTGGGGATCCAACCCCAGCTGCTGCGCTCTGTCTAAGCAGATGCTTTAGTCCGTTGAGCTATCTGGCTGCACCCAAAATGTAGCTAAAGTGAGTCTTTTTCTACTTATTTCAAAATACTAAACAGGTAAAAGCAAAGTTCAGGCTGAAGGCTAGAACCCCTGCCAGTTCCAACTCTGAGATGCCTCCAAAGATGCTGCTTGGAAAATACTGATCTAGGTATTTTTTTTGCCTGCCCAGAATCTACAAACCAAGTTCTCTCCAGCTGTCTTAGGGTTCCTCAAACCTTTACATACAATTCTACTGTTGTTGTGTTTTGTTTTATTTGTTTTTTGTGCAGAGTCTCACTACACATCTGGGACTTGTAGTGGTCCTCCTGATTTCTGCCTCCCTAGTTCTGGGATTACAGGTGTGTGCCACCACACCCAGACTCCATTGCTGGCTGAGCACACCTGGGGCAGGGCCAGCATGGCATGCAGTGCCAGGGATTGAAGCCTGGCCCCTGCACTTACCTAAGGAAGCACTTAGTCTGCTGAGCTACATTGCTAGCCCTAAGCTACCACTTAATTCTGATTCTGGGGTGGCACCCAAGCATGAGTAGTTGGGTTTTTTTTGTTGTTTTGTTTTCCTTATTTGTTTCTATAAGTAATTTTTTTGTTTGTTTTTGTTTTTTAATGTATTTGGTACAGGGTTTCACTACAGCTTGGACTCATAGCAATCCTCCTGTTTTCTGCCTCCCCAGTACTGGGATTATAGGCGTGTGCTATCATGCCTAGACTCCATTGCTGGCTCAGTGCACCCAGGGGTGAGGCTGGCACAGCATGTGATGCCAGGGATGGAACTCTGGCCCCTCCACTTACCTAAGCAGGTGCTTAGTCTGCTGAGCTATACTGCTGGCCTGTTGTTGTTTTTTAATCTTGTATTTGTTTATTTGGTACAGGATTTCACTACGCAGATCAGACTCATAGCGATCCTCCTGTCTCAGCTGCCACAGCACTGGGATTACAGGCATGTGTCACCACACTGGGTTTTGGTGGCCAGCACATCATGCTCAGGGAAGGGCCAGCACTGCATGCAGTACTGGGGCTCAAACCAGGTCCTTGCATTTGCCAGGCAGGCGCTTAGACTGCCAAGCTGTCTCCCCAACCCCTGCATTCTCTTCAATGATTTAATTTCTAATCATTGAAGTTTGATGGTAAGTTCCACAATGTAATGATTCTAAGATTCCTTTTGTTGTTGTTCTTTGGTTTTTTGAGGCAGGGTCTCACTATGTAGTCAAGGTTTGTGGTCTCAAACTCATGGCAATTCTCCTGCCTCAGCCTCATAGGTGCTGGTATTATAAGCCTGTACCACCACACAGGGCTTTTTCAAGACATCTTTTCCATGGTGGGAAGAAAATAATGTTTGTGAGATAAAGGGATTTAGGTACTAATGAAAATGTTTGTTTTGTGTATCACAGAATCTTGGGACATCTTCCCTTTTGAAACTCTTCTTAAATGTTTGGCTTATGGCTGGAAAGGGAAAGAATTAGAATGGTTCTAAGTGGACCTATTAGGTATATAGCACTGAACTAAAGAACGTGACCATGATGATCATAGTAATAAAAACACTACATTTACAACATTGTATAACAAAATTGCAGAACACTCTAAAAAGAGGCCAAAGGACTAAACAAACATTCCATGTTCGCAGGTTCAACATTGTTCTGAAGTGTTCTTCCAAGATTCAATGTAACTGTCATGAAAACCACAGCAGGTTATTTTGTGGACATTGGCAAACTGATTATTTATTTATTTATTTATTTAAGAAAAATTTTAATGTATTTAGTACGGGGTCTATCGGGTTTCAGTATGCAGATCAGACTTGTAGAGATCCTTCCTGTTTTTCAGCCTCGTGAGCACTGGGATTACAGGTGTGCACCACCATACCCAGTCTCAGTCACCGTGCTCTTTACATCACCTAATTCAGTTAGCCTTCTTGACTCAAAAATGATAGGGCTGAAGAGTATTTATCATGTACCCATTTTTGCTTTCATTTTCTTTCTTTTTTAAAAATAATTTTATTGAGAAATATCAATGAGACAGTTTCACAACCAATTATGGGCACATTTCCAAGAATTAATACATTGCATATTTTGCTTTCATTTTCAAGTAAAGCATTAAGCTAAAAAAAAAAATGCAATCAGAAATACTTCATTTTATAAGAGCTTTGCCCTATTCCAGCCATGTTAGAAATGATGTTTAAATCCACAAGCTCTCTCTATGGAAAAAAAAAAAAAGGCTGATATCGAGCTATATACATAGAATTCTAGTTTTGAAAAGTTTCTCAAAAACAAAAGAGAAAGCCGGATGTGGTAGCACATGCCTGTAATCCCAGAACTCAGGCAGCAGGATTGCTGTTAGTTCCAGGCCAGACTGGACTACATAGCGAGACACTGTTTAGGAAAAAAGAAAAAAAAAAAAAACCTTAAAAAAATAAGAACAGGTGGGCTGGTGAGATGGCTCAGTGATCTAAAGCACCTACTTAGAACAAGCTTAGCAAAGCACAGGGACTGCGGTTCAAACCCCCAGCAGCACATGCCAGCCAGCCCCGGCCCCTGGTGGGCTGAGCTGGCCACACACACACACACACACACACACACACACACACACACACAAATAAAAATAAGAACAGGAGAGAAAATGTACCTTTCCCTGTCCAACTTCTCTAAGAAATTATTAGAAACTATATCCATTAACCCAAAACATTTAATCCCACTTGGTAGAATTTTCCACAGTATAATTAACATAACACGATAAAACTTCAGGCAATATGGGTGGAGGGGAGGTGTTTTGGCTTAATTAACCCAGTTTAAATGCATCTGATTCCTACTGGAGAGTACCAGACTTGGTTTTCACAGCTTCTTCCTTCTTCCATTGCTGAACCAATTAATATTCCTTATGCTCCAAGTTTTCCCATAGTGGTTCCTAATATTAATAGCACAAGCATTCTGGAAGTACAAGCATGAAAGAGAACCAAGCTACTTCTGCTTGAACATGAAGTCCCATAACTTTAAATCCTCAATGAATTTTGCTTTATATAATATATATATATATATATATATATATATATATATATATAAATTTGAAAGGTGATGGGTAGAGAATTACCTTTTATGTTTAAATCCTAAAGATCAGTGGAATAAGGAAGGCTATATTAACACAAACTTTCTTTGTATATTTTTATTTTAAAAGAGCTATCATGTTCCCTCAAGGGATGCCATAGTGGCAACCCTTGGTACTGATGATATGCAGACATGTCCTATTGCTCTTGAGCAGACTTGTTTTGGGGGGAACTGGGTCTGTTGTAGCTGTGAGTTAGCTCAGTAAGGTATATTCTCTGTCAGGGGAGCCTATGGTATTTACAGTGATAAACATTTTAGAAAATATTCCTAAGTTCATGCTTACATTTCTCATACTACTTGACTGTCAGACATTCCATTGTATCCTGTTTTGTTTCATCTATTTGAATACAGCCTGGAGTGTTACAGAAAACAAGACAAAACTCAGGGGGCCGGGGAGATGGCTCAGTAGAATAAGCGCTTGCCTGGCAAGTGCAAGGGTCTGAGTTCAATCCCGATTCCACAAAAAAAAAAAAAAAAAAAAAAAGACAAAACTCAGGAAGAAAGGGCACCAGGAAGGTTTATTTATACCTCTAGGCTTGACTGGGATCTCTCCCAAAGGGTCAGCCCTGCCTGGCAGGGTCTTGGGTCTTTTATCCAGAAAGCAAGGGAGGAAATTGAAAGGCAGATTTGGTGCACTATGATTGGAGGGTTGGGTGATATCTTGGGTTGCTGAGGGAGTTTAAACATTTCAGGTTATGTCACAAGGCCATCAGTTATACAAAGCATGGGTTATATAGAGGAAGAAATGTCCTATTCGATTTTAAGTTGCATTGCAAAGCCATCAGTTATACAAAGGCAGCAAAAAACAGGAGCTACACAAAGAAATATTTCAAGTTGTATTTTAAGGTCATCTGTCATATAAGCTTATGCAAAAGAAAGGATGTTCTGTTATCAGGCTTATCCTGACACAGACATCTTTGCCTGGTCCTGGTGGGCATCCTTTTCAGATTTTATTTAAAATTTTAATTTCCCTTTCAGGATCATCTGAAGCATTAGGTTTTGTGGTTATCTGTCATAAAGTCCATGGATAGAAATGCCTGGCTGATGAAACTTTCTTTTATCGTGTGTGTGTGTGTGTGTACCCACAGAGCAAGGAAGTAGCCATGACTCAGAACAGCCAATATGGTGGCAACAAACCTCATCAACAAGTGAGGCAGCACCAGTGCCAGGTGTCTGGACCAGGGAACTAAGCCTAGAGATACACTCTCATTTTGGTTTTTAGATTTTTTTTTTATTTTTGTTGCTATTTGAGACAGGGTCTGACTATGTAGTTCAGGCTCACCTTGAACTCTCGACACTCTTCCTGCCTCAGCTTCCAGAATGCTGGTGATTAGCCGTGTGTGCCACCACACCTGGCTCTCGTTTTGTTAACAAATGGGTCTTTGCAGCTCTAACAGATGTTGTTCTATTTATTTGTAAAAAGTACCAAGCAAGCAAGCAAGTCCCCACATGTAGTTAAATACATCCAACATCCGACTCTAACAAAGGGTCCACTATAAGGAGGGAGAGGCTCTCTGGAAGTGGGGTCAGGATGGCTGAGAGGCAAGAACCTTTCATGACACAGTACTGTTCAAAAATTATTTTTGTTCTGTCCAATAAATGTGGAGGGTTTTAGTTTAGTCACTAAAGTGTCTATTCTAATCTCTTAAGCAATGGAAATCTGAGTCAGAAAATACTTCAGTTCTAAAATAAGGAAGCAGGACTGGCGAGATAGCTCAGTGGACTAAGCACCTGCTTTGGCAAACACAGGGACCAGGGTTTTTTTTTTTTTTTTTTAATTTATTTATTTATTTATGTGTGTGTGTGTGTGTGTGTGTGTGTGTGTGTGTGTCCAGCTCAGCCCACCAGGGGGCGGGGCTGGCTGGCATGTGGTGCTGGGGGATTGAACCGTGGTCCCTGTGCTTTGCTAAGCTTGTTCTAAGTAGGTGCTTTAGACCACTGAGCTATCTCACCAGCCCAGGGACCAGGGTTTGATTCCCTGTCCCGCATGCCTCTCCAGCCCCACCCATGGGGCTCCCTGAGCTGATAAAGAGTTCAGGCTTGGCACACCTATAATCTCAGTGCTGGGGAGGCTGAAAACAGGAGGATCACTACGAGCTGCATAGTAAGGTCCTGTACCAAATACATAAATGAAAAAATAAAATAATATAAAGAAACAAAATATAATAAATATGAAAGTACTTACATTTTTATCAGTAATCTCAAAATAAACCAATTCCTTACCATAGAGTGGAAATACAGTTACTCTAGAATTTTAAATTTTTAGATTGTCCATGGAAATTTTTCTTGTAAAGCACTGTGCAAGTCAGCATTCTGAGAAATATAAGGAACATAAAGAGAAAAACGGACTTCTAAAGTATCCCAGACTTTAATCCCTCCGATAGCAAAACATAGCTAGAGTCTGTGCCATTTAAGCTTGGGAACATGGCATATGTCCACATGTTTTCAAAATCACAAAGTCCAACAAAACCATACGTTGTTGCTCTTCTTTGTTGTTTTCCATTCTTGCTTAATAGCTACAGTGTAGGTAGGCATTTATCCATTTTTGTATAGTACTTGCTACTTTTGGAAAGAGTTACTCAAGATATATTATTGGTGGGCCGGGGAGATAGCTCAGCGGCATAAGTGCCTGCCTGAAAAGCACAAGGTCCCTAGTTCGATCCCACACACACACACAAATAGATAAATAAATAAATAAAAATTTGAAGATGTATTATTGGTTATTCAATAATAACAAGTGTCCCTTTTTATTTTGCATAATGTGATGTAATTCTAAAACACGGTGGCCATCATCATCATCGTCTTTAAGCCTTGGCTCTAAAATTGTAGAAGTGAGTAAGGTTAACTATAGCCTGATGTCAGTTCTCTCACAACACTGATTTCAATACAATTTCTATAATGATTACAATAGAAAAAAAAAAGTAGGCCTTGTTCTGTGGCCCAGGCTGGCCCTAGACACTCAGGCTCCCTGGTCTTAGTCTTAGCCTCAGCCCTGAACAGCTAGGTCTACACGTGGATGCCACGCCGCCTAGCTAAACTCTCTTCTTCACAGGCCCACTGTCTTCATAACCAGCCCACACCTTCAGAGATGTTTGCTCCCTGCCCCCCCCAGGGCAGAGCCTCCACACCTCACCAGCCCTTCTCAGCCTCCATCTCCCAGCTCCACTGCATCGGGTTTCCCACACAGAAACTTTGTGGAGTCACATTCAAACCACAGCAGTCGTGTACATTTTAAAATTAGAAATTCAAATTGGGAGCTGGGCACGGCGGTGCATGCTTGTAATCCCAGCACTTGGAAGGCTGAGGCAAGGGAGTCGCCATGAGTTCAAGGCCAGCCTAGGCTACATGGTGAGTATAAGGCCAGCCTCAACTACATAGTGAGTGAGACCTTGTCTCTAAATCAGTGAATCAATCAACTAATCAATCAATCAATCAATTAGAATAAAAAAGAAGGATGAGTCTCATTTGGCCTTTGTCAAAGCACTGTTTTCTTCTTCTAGGGAGTGTCAGCCATCAAATGCCTGAAGATGGGGGGTTTGTTGGTGGGCTCTGGAGCTGGACTGCTGGTCTTTTGTAAAAGTCCGAGCTATAAACCTGCCAAGTAAGTTCTGGGCCCCCAAAAGTTGGGATAGGTAGAGACTGACCAGAGGAAGGTTATCTTGGTTACTTTTCTCCCATTGTTGAAACAAAACACCCAACACCCAAATTAAAGAGGGAAAGGTTTAGCTCATGGGTTGTCGAGGTTTCAGTCCACACTCGGCTGGCTCCAAGGCAGGGTGGCACATGGCAGAGGGCAGCTGTTCATGGCTGCAGGAAACAACAAAAGCAACAAGAGCAAGAGGGAGGGGGAGCAGCCGAGATCAAGCCTCTCTCCCTCCCTTATGTTGTACGTAGGCTGCCTGCCCTGGGCACATGTAGCACTTCCACCCATAATCCCAGCCCTGGACCAGGAATGGATCACAGACTCTAGAGACCCACCCTATGTCTATAGCAGGCTTTGTGGAGGGTTCAACTAGACACAACCCATACCAGAGCCTTACTTGAATCCTGTAATGAAATGATATTAGCAAAGTTATATTTTGTCAGAGAGTTTCATCTTGCTATTGAGTAGTTGGAATTGGAATCATCTTTTTTTTTTTTTTTTGTCAGCATAAAAGTTTGTGTTGATCAAACCAAAGTAATACACTAGGACATAAGTAGATACTGCCCTTTTAATAAATATATGTTTTTAATTATACTACTGCCTGAACTGCATAGTGAAGCCTTGTCTCAAAAAGGCCAACAACAACAACAACAACAACAACAACAAAAAAGGGATATTTGGTGCCATCATAGATTCCATTTAATCATTTTACTCTTTAGCTGCTAACCAATAGGTTTCTGGAATATTAAAATATTTTTAAATCAGAAATTTCTTGGGTCATTTATTTATTTTAGGGAAAGGTCTATAGGGTGTTGAGGGTGTCACTACTAGATCGGACTCATAGAGATCCACCTGTTTACAGCCTCCCAAGAGCTGGGATTACAGGCACATGCCAGCAGGCCCAGTCTCAATCACTGTCTCAGTGCCCCTGGAGCAGGGCAGCAGGCCTGAGATCGAACTCCCAGCCCCTGTGTCTTCTTGCAGGCACTTTAATCCACTGAGCTATTTGGCTGGCTCTTGTTGGGTCCTTTAAATGAATGAATATAGGTGTTGTTTCCACTGCTTCCCCTAGTCTTCTTGGGACCATCCAGACCTGGATTAACTAACCTCTGTCTCCCTTAGGGAAGGCATAGTAATGATTTGGAGGCATGTAAGTGATGGAGGGTAAGATATCTTTATGCAGTGTAAGATACCTTGTCCTAGCCCAGGGGTGAGGCTTTCTAGCATAACAGAAGACAGGACAAACTAAGAAAATGTCCCAACTCCAGCAAAGGGGCTGTGAGAAATATCTGACATCTCTGGCAGTTATACCGACTGCAGGCCAGGATTGGAGAGGACCACAGCAGTAGTAACCTCTGACTCAAGGAAGAGATTAATTTTTCTTCCCTCTAGAGATAGTCACCCAGGGCTCCTGAGTGGTGATCAGTCTGGCTTACAGAAGCTTGCAAGGAGGGCCCAGATCTCTTTAGGGGACCAAATGGAAGGCTGGGTTTGACCCCAGGTCCCATGTCTAGTGGTTCCCCCCAGGCAGGAAACAGGTGACTCTTTGCCCTTCTGGTGGCAGGGACTGTGATTACAGTCCCTACGGAAGTGTCCTGGCTTTCCTTAGTTGTTGCAATCACATGAGTCATCTTTGGAGCCCTGGGAATTCCACTGTGAAGCTGCCTATTGTTTTTTCTGCCCTTTGGCCTCCTCTTATTCTTGGTTATAAAAGACCTCAGTGATTTCCTTGACAAGAGACTCTAAAGAGCTATCAGGACTACCAAACACCTTCTTCTGTATTTTACACCTGCTATCTGGGGCAGACTGGGTTACAAATTTACCTCCCTGCCCCCTCGACAAAGTCTGAGGATGGGAGGGTAAAGGTTGTTAAAGCCTCTTGGAGTCTTTGTAAAAAGGCTGAGGGATTTTCTTGGTTACCCTGATTAACGATCCATAGCTTAAAACAACCCTTCTAGAATACAGGCCTAGAAATACTTATGTGCCTATGATCATCAGGGTCCTAGTAGGGTTATCTCCTGGGGCAGCCTCACCCTTGTGGGAAATAGTCTTTTCCCTGGCCGTAGTTCCTCAGGCCTCCTGTGATAAATAATACATAATTCATCTCCAATGACCTCTGCTGCATGTAAGGCCCCTTGCTTTCCACTAGGGGTTAACATGTCTCTATGTGCTTATCAGGAACATCAGAAAATCTTCCTAAATCCTGCTTGATCTGTTTTATACCTGCCAAGGAAAAGGGCCCATGGGCTCCAAGAACACCAACTTCTCCCCTGCTCACCTCTTGAAGAACGTAGAGTTCCCTGCAGAGGCTTCTTTTGGCCTGGGCAGCAGTTTGGGTTTGGAAGGTGGACTAGAAGGCTCTGTCTAAGTAGGACAGTAGGAGTCTCAGTAGGACCATGAGAGACCAGGATTGACCTAGCTCCAGTCTGCATTGTTGGAGCAGCTTGGGGTTCCCTCTTGAAGCAAAAACATGTGGGCTTAGGGAATTTCTGACTATGTTCCCTCTCTCACAAGCTGATCTCATTGAAGAATTGTTTTATAATTCATAAGCATTCCGGTGAGCTCACATATCTCATTCTGAAAGATGAATAGAGAGGCGCTTCCCTATCACCTGCCTGTTTCAGCCAATAGGACTCACCCAGGCCAGCGACAGCTGCTGAAATTGCCTGAAGGAAGTGGCGGCCAGAATCCCACTCTGACTGACACATCCGGAGTCCTGGACCTCCAGTTAGAAACAGAGCTAGGACATGATGTGTGGTTTTCCTTTCCCTACCAACACGCACGTCTTTCTAAACCCATGCCAGTTTCTTCCCAAGATCCCCCATGGAACATGGGCTGGACCAAAATAAGTTGTAGAGCAGTTCTGGGCTCCTTGAACCTTGTTCATTATGTGTTCATTTCTTTATTTTTTTTAAGTTTATATTTATTATCCTGGGACTTAACAGACAGGGGAGGAGCCAGATGTGGTGACACACACATGTAATTCCAGCACTTGGGAGGCTGAGGGAGGAGGACTGGTATGAGTTCGTAGCCAGCCTGGGCTATATAACCAGCCTGAATCATGTAGTGAGATCCTGTCTTACAAATTTCAAATCAAAACACAACCAAAGCAAAGCAAAACAAAAAGCAAGGTAGGGAAGGAGGAAAAAACCAGAAATGTGGAAGAAAAGAAAAAGGATCCCTGAAAGTCAGGTAGACAACCACTATTAACATCTTATGATTTCTTCTTGTCTTTATTGCTGATGCAAGTTTTGAAGTAATTGTGCTTATATGTCTAAAATTTTATTTTCTAACTTTCTTTACTTCACAAAAGCATCATAAATTTTTTCAAAATTGCTACATATTATTTTATTTATTTTGTTGGTTTCTTTTTCTTTTTCTTTTTTTCTTTTTTTTTGGGGGGGGCAGGGTCTCACTATGTAGTTCAGCCTGGCCTTGAACTCACCACATAGGCCAGGCTGCCCTAGAGCTCACAGCATTCCTCTTGCTTCAGCCTCCCAAGTTCTAGGATTATACATGTCTGTCATCATACCCAGAACTACATATTATTTTTATCAACATGATAAATTATATATAAACTACACAATCTTTTAAACCTTTTATGGCCAGGTGAATATTCTATGGCATTTATGCCCCATAGATCATTTCACAATTGTATTACAATTGGATATTTCAGTTGTTTCCATTTGGTCACTATATTACATAAGATTTCAGTAGCATCCTTTGGCATAAATGGTCTCCCCTCTCCAACTTTAGGGATATTTTCCAGAGATAGAATTAACAAAGGGTGTAAGTTGCCATGGTGATGGTACCCATAACCCTACCCAGAACGCTCCCCCATCCAAATCTTCCCCCTCTTGCACAACGCATTTCAGACCGTATCTGACTGGTGAGTCTTCTGACTGTTTACAGGTACACAATACCATGAATAACTCATGCTTCTCCAACTATGTCACTTTCTGGAGGGTTCGTCCCAAATCACATGCCAGATCTGTATTTTCTGTAATGCTTTGGATGGGTAATAAATACGTGATGGTTGAGTGAATCCCTTTACATTTTCTTTTCCTTTAAAGGAAGATTCAGTTGCAAGGTGGCATCACTTCTATCACCCTTCGAGGAGAAGGACACCAGTTTTTTGTAGGAACAGAAGAATCACACATTTATCGGGTTAGCTTCACAGAGTTCAAAGAGACTCTCATTGCTACGTGTCACTTTGAAGCTGTCCAGGACATCATCTTTCCATTGTAAGTACAAGAAGAAAATTAGAGGGGGCCAGGGAGATGGCTCAGCAGAATAAGCACTTGTCTGGCAAGTGCAAGGGCCTGAGTTCAATCCCCGGTTCTGCCAAAAAATAAAAAAGAAAATTAGTACATGGCAATTTGGTGTAGTGTGGAAGAAAAATTGATTTTAGTAATACATATTGAATATCTATGAACGTAAGTGGGATTTTTTCCTTATACTTTTCTAATGTACTAAATTAATTTTGTAAAACTTTCTATGGTCTTTACCATGAAATTGCATTAGTTCTCCCAATTCAAATTTAGGCTTCTTTAGAATGTGGGCTTTTAAAATAAACCTATGGCTGGGGAGATAGCTCAGTAGAATAAGCACCTGCCTGGCACGCACGGGGTACTGAGTTTAATCCCCAGTACTGAAAAAAAAAAAAGGTAAAATAAAAATAAACCTATAGTGGAAAGAAAATTTATTGGGCAAAACCTTCCTGTTTTCCCAGTGCCATCTGGGAAAGCTTGGTGTAATGCCTTTCACCCATCTTTTATCCAGCCACTCACTGGGTCGATTCTCCTGGAGCCTCCCATGTTTGAAAAATTTTGTCATGGACATGAGGTCCTCAGGGTTTAGTGGGTGCAGTCCTTGGTAAATCCTTCCCCAAACAAATGAATATTCATGAACATTTTTATATCAAAAATAACAGAAAGCTGTCATCATAGTGCGCCACCGCTTCACTTTGAAACACATTTTGCCTTTGGTGCCATCTAGTCCATGAAGTTTGTCAGGAAGTTTTTGTTGTGAACTTCCTTAGTGTTGGCTTGAACTCGAAAAAAAAAAAAAAAAAAAAAAATCACTGTTCCGTCGATCAGCAAGACATTTCAAAGCCAGCCCTTAAAGATAATGAGCTGTTGCTTTTGTGTCCTCAGTCCTTAGGGGTCCACGCTGCCAAATATTTCTAGTGGAAAAGATGGCCAATGCTTTAATTTTCTCTGAGCTCATTCAATTAAGTGAATCTTTCTTTGAAAATGGGGCATTTTTTTTTTCAATCTCAATTTTTATGGAACTTGGTAGAATCAATCTGTAAATTTGTGTGATCCTGAAACCTTTCAGGAGGGTAGATTTTTAAAGTATCTTTGGAATTTTTACAGCTATTGATCTGTTCAGGTTTTATAACTTTTATTTTCTTTTAAATAAGATTTATTAAAATGTAATTTATGTACTGAAAGGTTCACACATTTAGACTTTTTAGCATATAGAGTCATGCAACTATTGTCTAATTTTAAAACATTCCATTTTCCCTATTGACCAAAAACAGTCACTCAGTCAGTCCCTCCTCGCCTACTGCTAGGCAAACACTACTCTACTTTCTGTCACTGGATTTTCCTATTCTGGACATTTCATATAAAAGAAATCGTATAATATGTGGACTTTTGTGACTAGCTTTTAAAACTTAGCATTTTTTGAAAGAATATCCCATCTTATAGGATATATTCATACTTTGTTTCTTTAAAAGTGAGCAAATTCATTACATAAATAATGAATAATACTATAATGATAATGATAATACTATATTTTGTTTTTCTATTCACCAGTAGATGCATATGTGAGTTGTTTCTGCAATTTGGAAACCATTCTTTCTTTTTTTATTTATTCAGTGGTTTCCCTTAAAATTTTCTATACTTTTTTTTTTTCAGTACCGGGGATTGAACTCAGGACCCTGCGCTTGCCAAGCAGGTGCTTATTCTACTGAGCTATCTCCCCAGCCCTCTCTTAAAATTTTAATGTATGTATTTAATTTTTTTTCTTTCAAAGACTGAGAATAACCAACATTTATGTCCTATCCATCACTGAGAAAAGAATTAGTTTATTTTTGTTTTCTTCTTAATTTTTCCTCTATAATCTCCTGTGCTAAAATTATTGGAAATTACAGATCAAGGTAATATTATTTTCTTTAAAGTAAAGTGCTTAGGTGTAACTTTAAATTTTGTTCTTTGGTTTTATTGTTCTTTCATTTTCATTCTCTCTCTCTCTCTCTCTCTCTCTCTCTCTCTCTCTCTCTCTCTCTCTCTCTCTCTCTCTCTCCAGAGTCTCACTATGTAATTCAGGATTCAGGCTGGATTTGAACTTGCCACAATCTTCTTGCCTGAATCTCTCAAGTGTTTGGATTATAGGCATGCTTCAATGTGCCTGGCTCTCTGTTTACATTTAAAGTACCTTTCTCAAAACAGCAAATAGTTGATTCTTGCTTTCCTATATAATCACAAAAATCTTGCTTTTTATTCGGAATATTTAACCCATTTACTTGTTATATAATTTGTTTTCCTTCATTTGTTGACCATTCATTGTTGCTGTTTTCTTTCTGCCTCCTTTTACAATGATCAGCTGTGTTTTGTATTTCATGTAATTGCTCCATTGGCTTTCTGGCTAGGTACTTTTGTATTAAATTTTAGTGCAGGCTCTAAGGATGGCAATAAACATCTTTAATACTTCAAAATCTAGGGCTGGGGTGATAGCTCAGCAGTCTAAGCACCTGCCTGGCAAGTGCAAGGACCTGAGTTTGATCCCTGGTACTGCATGCCATCCAGACCCTGGAACCCCAGGTGTGCCATGCAGGACCCAAAACTGGGTGTGGTGTCACACACCTACAATCCCAGTGTTGGGGAGGCTGAGACAGGAGGATCACTAGGACTCTGAGCTATGTAATGAGACCCTGTATCCAATAAGTAAAAAAAAAAATCAAAAAATATTTCAAAGTCTAATCAGAGTTAGTATTTCATTACTCCAAGGAAAATATAGTAGAACAATTCTAAAACAGCTACCCTGTTGTTATAAGCCCATCAATACAATATTATAATTTTTGTTTTAAACAATCATAAATCCTTTCAAGAAATTGAGGAGTGCCAGGTGTGGTGGTGCATGCCTATAATCCCAGCACTCTGGAGGCTGAGGTAGGAGGATCATTGCAAGTTTAAGACCAGCCTGGGCTACAAAATGAGCTCAAGATCAGTCTGAGCTACATACTGAAACCCTGTCAGAAAAAGACCAAAAAAGAAGAAGTTGAGGATTAAAACATTCAATAAGATTTTTGTGGTTACCTAGATATATGAGCCTTTCTGATACTTTTTCTTTTTTTCAGTGGTAGTGGCACTAGGAATTGAACCAAAGCCTCCCTCGTGTTGGGCAATCAGTCTACCACTGAGCTACATCCCCACCCTATTTTATTTTTGGGACAGGGTCTTACTAAACTAGGCCTTCCTCAAACTTGCAATCTTTTTGCTTCAACCTCTAGTGTAGCTGATATTGCAAGCATGTGCTATTATACCCAACTTTATCCTTTTATACAGCTGGATGATAGCTGGTACTTTTCCCTCTCAGCCTAGAGAACTTCATTTAGCCTTTTTTATTTCATAAAAAAATGTAAAACAATATTTCCTATTAAAATAATAGGAGAAAAACAATAGTTCATACATTACATGTTGTTATCTTTAAGGGAGTTGCTCAGGCTACAAGATATGGGTATACAAATTTCTCCAAGCAATATTAACACAAACCTTCCTTTTTAATGAACTAAGAGACACTAATAGTATAACTGAGTTACATTTTTCCCCCTTTCCCTGCTGACCTTTTCCCTTCCCCCATCCTAGTTGGTTTTTCCTTTTGAACAATTTCTTCCTCTTTCATAGTATCTATTGTACATTGTGGAACTCATTTACTCTTTCCTTATCTCACACCAGGGAGACAATACGATGTGAGTCTTATTTATTTCTCTTTTGAGTATGGTCTCTACTTGAATCCACTGACCTACAAAAAGCCTCAAATTCATCTTTTTTTATAGCTGAGTAATACGCCTTGTATAAAAATACTGCTGCATCTTGTCATTTTCTATTCCCAACATTTTTATTTTGATTTCTGTGGGGATCTTTGTAAGTTTTTGTTTCAGTACATACCTTTGTCACTAGTATCCAGGCAAGGTTTGTTCTTCAGAGATATGCTCTGTGTGTAGGAGATTCTTGGTTTGTGTCTGTCCCAAGATCATACCTTTTCAATTAATTTATAGGGAGATATTGGTATCTGCTTGGCTCAGTCCCTAGCTCTTTGGTGCTGGGGTGTGGTGAGGTTGTTGTTATAGATCTTCCTAGTATTGTTACAGAAATGAGAACAACTGGTTAGAACAGATATGGCATCCTAGCTAAAGTAGTAGAAGTAGCACTAACAATAGTATCAAGCACAGTTTAGACACTGATAAGCTGTTGTAACCTAATTTTGTACCTTTAGGTGTAGAAGCAAAATCTATAGTTATGTAACAAATCTGATTATAAATTGGGAATGTGTATGGTGGGAAAATTTAAAAAGGATAGTGGAGAGAAGATAGATAGCTGAGAAGAAAGTAGAAGCCAGGCTGGAGGACAAAGGATGTTCACACAAACTTTGGGAAACTAAAGAAGAGGACAGAAGAGAAGGAATGGAGGAGTAATCAAGGGATTATGGAAGTTGACCAGAAACATTAGACTGCTTACTCATGAAAATGTGAGGTAAATTGAGGAACGTGAGAAAGAAGATGAGTAGATTGGAACAAAAATATTCCAATCTACTAGGTAGGTAAAAGACACAATAGATAAAGTAAAATGAATAGGCAACATAACAGCAAAATAAATAAATAAGAAAAATATAAGAAAATTTAAAAACAAAATTTTTCTGTTACCCACTCAGAGACCAAAACTACTGGCTGATGCTGCCAACCTTGCAATAGAGTTTGTGCTGGACTCGAGGCCGATCTTGGCCTCCAGCTGTGGGTCCTGGCCCAGAGTCTTTGGCCAGTACTTTCCATCTGTCCCTAGTGCCCTCCCCCTCCTTACCCTTTTTCTCTCGGTGGCCTCTCTCCCCCAGTGACTGTGCTGCTTTCAGGCAGCATCAGGGTGCTGTTCCCAGAGCCATGCACCTATGGCTTCTCCCCATCCTTGCTCAGCCCTCTGTGCCCCTCTTCCCCTGGAAGTCTCTGTCCTCTCGGGCCGTATGTCGCAGGGTAGGGTGGGAGGCTGTGACATGGTCTGGTCCTCTGCCCCTGCTGTGGCAGTGCCAGGTTGCTCAGGCCCAATTCTTATTCCTCTCCTCAGTGCTAACCTCCCATTCTTGCTTTACTAGTTCTGCTACCCACCATCACCTGCCCCTGCTGTGGTCTGTCATTTCCTAGAGCAAGATGGGGGGTTCTGTGGGGTGCCTTTCTGCTCCCACCCCAGGTAGCATAGGGACAGCCTGGGGCTGCACAGTCCCAGGTTCAAAGCTGTTTAATTCCGCACACCTCTCCAACCCCAAGTCACAGGGAGGGGTTAGCTGTTCCATTTGCTGCACACCCTGTAGTCTTCAGTCTTGTTCCTGGCTGTTGCAGTTAGTGCTCTGGGGCACAAAAGGAATGGGAAGAAAAGAAAAAGGAAGAAGGAAAGAAAAAAAGAGAGAGACAAAAAAAGGAAAACTGGCCAGTTGTCAGGGAGAAGTTCATGTCCACAGAATTTACTGCTGTGCTGTAGTGTCTTCTGTTCAGGGGAAGGCAGTAGAGGCAGGGGACCTTTGAGTCCATGTCTTCCCTGTATGGCTTGGTTTAGCCACACCATTTTAGTATATCCTTCCTCTTCCTCTTCCTCTTCCTTTTCCTCCCCCTCTTTCTCCTCCCTCTCCTGCTCCCCTTCCTCCTCCTCCCCCCTCCTCTTCTTCTTTTTCTTCTTCTCCTCCTCCTCCTCTTCCTCTTCCTCTTCTTCTTCCTCCTCCTCCTCCACTACTTCTTCTTCTTCTTCTTCTTCTTCTTCTTCTTCTTCTTCTTCTTCTTCTTCTTCTTCTTCTTCTTCT